TTCAGTGTAAATATTGCGTCAAAATCAAATCAATTTGAGCGCGATTTAAACCCGGATGATTGTAACCACTCTAAGTTCGTCTGCCTTGGGAAAGCTAGCGTGTCTCCGACATAGTGATAACACTCGTTGCCTTCTTTAGTGCAGCTCAACCAGGTCTCGTCCCATTCATCAATATTTGTGATATCACAAATCCCGGAAAATATGCGTTGTAGTCCAAACGAGTCATTCGTTGTAGTTTTTGAAAAACTATTTCTGTTAAATAAAATATCTCGTTTTGAAGTGGACTCTGAGCTTTGTAACTTTGCAGATCTTTTTTTATGCTCAAACAGCAACATTACAGACTAACTAAAGTTGAAAAAGTGAAAAAGCATAATAGGACCCTTTCTGACAGCTCATAATATCTCAGAGATTCGCTCACCTCTCCGTCCGCCAGCATCAGACCCAAACCACACGCTGCTCTCTGCAGCTCCAGCACAAACACATCTTCTTCTCTAATCTCACTCTCCTCACTCTCACCTACAAACACACACATACACACACACACACACACACGAGCTTGTGTCACTAAACAGCTCCGGTTCATAAAGCTGACATGCACGGCTCTGATGGAGACAGAAAGCACAGAGCGTCCCGTCACCTTCCTCCGGTCTGACTGTGGAGGTGTGCTGCTGTGAATCCGTGTCGGAGTCCGTCAGCTCCAGGTTCTGTGGCGTGTTCGGCGGGGTCAGTAAACACGATGGGTCCAGCGCCGGACGGGCTGCATCTTTATCCTGAAGCTCAAGATTCTGAAGCTTTTTGGTTAAAAGAGCTTCACATGAGCCCAGGTCACTCGCTCCTGCGTGAGGAATCACCATTTCTGTGTGACCCACCTCCAGATGAGCTTTGGGGTGAAGCTCCATCTTAGTGAGCTTGGCCTCCATCGGCACCAGCTGTAATATCAGCAAAGATAATAAAGAAAATATAAATATTACTCTAAAAATAATTAAATGTAAATATATTAAATCAACTCTAAATTACAAAATTAAATTAGAAAAATGTTAAAAATATTTACAAATATTAAAACAAATGTATTTTATTTCAGCCCAAGCAACATTTCATTTTCATTGAGTTTACCTTCATACACTAAAATAACTTAAAAATGGATAAAAACTTGACATATATTCTCAAAAAATTAAAACTAATAAAAATGACTAAAACACAACAAAAAAACTCAAACTTGAACTTAAATGAAAACAGAAAATATAAAATAACAAAAACTATAAAAATAAAAAAAAACTATAAAGTATCTCAATTATACTAAAATAACTCAAATTAAAACTGAAATCAAATTAAAAACTATAGACATTTAAAAAAATAATAATAAAAAAATGACAAAAACAACAAAATTACTATAACTAACTGAAATTAATATGAAAACCGAAAAAAATATTTATTAATAAAAATGTAGGAAAAAATCATTTAAAATATTACGAAAAATTATAATAGTATCTCAAAAATACTAAAATAACTCTGGTACTAAAACTAAACTGGAAATGAAATATTAATACATTAATGTTTTGAATTAAATTTTATTTTATATTTTCCCTGTTTACTTAAATCTAAAAGTACTAAAAATACTAAATCTAATTTAGTGAAACTGAATTTAGGTTTTACTAAATTAGATTTAGGTTTATTTAAATTTTAGTTTAGTTTAAAAATATTAGTACTTCTGTTTGTGGTTTTGTAATTTTTTAGAGGAAAAAAAAAATTATATATATATACACAGTAGTCAACATTTGAAGTGAGGATCAAAACCTTTCATCAAAGTTGTCCTAAAACCCAAAACCAAAATGCGTTCTTTGAAGTTCTTTGTGTTACTTTGATGAACTGTTTTGTTTTGTTTAAGTACTAAAAATACTAAAAGTTCCAAAAGCACACAACAGAAGTACTAATACTTTTAAACTAAACTAAAATTTAAATAAACAGGGAAAACATAAAATAAAACTTAATTCATAATATTAATAAAAACTATAATAGTATCTCAGTGATACTAAAATAACTGCTTTGAATGAGCCATTAATTGGTCAAACGTAATAAAAATGAATATTTTGTTGTGTAACTGAATAAAATATTATTAATGAAAATAAAAATCAATCTGCGCACCTGAGGTGGCTGTGGGGAATGTGGGGCTGCCTCTGGGTCTGTGATGAACCTCTGAAAGCGGTACAGCTGTGTAATGAGCTGCGTCTCACTGATTGCTCTTCTCAGCTGCAGTATGAAGCCGTCGGCAGGGAGGATGAGAGGAGGATGCTGATCGAAGCTCTCCAGGATATCAGCTGTAGACGCCAGAAACATTAGCGTTCATGTTCGCTCCTCCACAGTCACAATCACTTGTATATGTCGTTACAGGCTTGTTAAAGTGTTATGTGAATATGTACCGGTTGCGAGCGCCTCGTCCTCGTCGCCGGAAGGCGTCCACCCTGCTGGACAGGAGCGCCGCGGCTCGTACTCTCTCAGTATGTGATGGAGCTGAGCTGCGTTCAGAGACGGGAACTCCATCCGCAGAGCCTTCCACGACATCTACACACAAACACCTCATCATCACACTTCACAGGAACTGTTTCCCAGCCTGAATAATTCTAGAAATCATGTGATTTCAAGCAGTAAACACAGCTACGTAATAGTGAATACAGTGCATTTTACCATAGCATCTCTTATTATTCTTTTGTGAGAATTAAGATATGAAGTTACAGAAAAGCAAGATTTTATGCATATGATGCACCACTTTATCACAAATAAGACTTGACATGTCATAGTTATTAAATAATACAAAGGACTTTATGATGTTATTGTGGGTCAAAGACAAGTTTATTCCAATTAATGACTGTAAAATACATAGGCTTTTTTTTGTTAAAGTGCCATCATTTTTTTTTTTATTAAATATATATAAATGTTTCTTTTGCTTGTTTCCAGTATTATATATATATTTTTAAATTTTATATATATATACATATATATATATATATATATATATATTATCCATTCATTTTTGGCTAGCTGAAAGAGTTTTTATATTTTATTTTAGTTTTATATTTTACATTTATTTTATTTCAAGTATCGAAAATGTTTTTTTTATGGTTTCAATTTTATTTTTTAATATAATATAATGATACTAATATATAAATTATTTTCTGCATATAAAACCCACTTTATCACAAATAAGACTTCATATATCATAGCTAAATATCAAATATGATTATAATTATCCATTCATTTTTGGCTAACTGAAAGAGGTTTTATATTTTATTTTAGTTTTATTTAGTTTTATATTTTACATTTATTTTATTTCAAGTATCGAAAATGTTTTTTTTTAAATTTTATATATATATACATATATATATATATATATATATATATTATCCATTCATTTTTGGCTAGCTGAAAGAGTTTTTATATTTTATTTTAGTTTTATATTTTACATTTATTTTATTTCAAGTATCGAAAATGTTTTTTTATGGTTTAAATTTTATTTTTAATATAATATAATATGATATTAATATAATAATTATTTTCTGCATATAAAACCCACTTTATCACAAATAAGACTTGATATATCATAGTTAAATATCAAATAATACAACAGATTTTATGATAAAAATATTCTAATTAATGACTAAAATATGTAGATTTTTTATTTTTTTGGTTGTAGTGTCATCGAAAATAAAAACCAGTATTTTAATACTAACAATATTGAAATGATAACTGAGGTGGGATAAACCTGATCCTAATTTCTGAATTGTGATGAGTGAAAGAGCCGATGAGGCTATAGTTAGTGTGTCTTTAGTGGGACGTCCCGTCAGGATCATTTACAGACGTGGCTCATCCAGCACCTTCATCTATGACCATGAAAGAGTCTTTGTGTTCGTGAAGCTTTATCCTTTAATGAGTAATACTTCCTGTTAATCATTTCTGTGCTCCACACTAACTCCTGCTGTCTGAAGAGATTGTGATGAGAGAGGAACGCACGTGTAATAAAACAGGAACGATCAGAATGGTGCGGACAAACAGCTATGCTTTAAAAATTTATGGAAATAAATGTCCTCTCTTTCACTATATCTATACTTTTACACATCCATTTCATCTAACTTACTACTGCCTACATTAAAAAAAATCATAACATGTTTTTTATGTATTTAGTTTAATGTTTCATATATATATACACACACACACACACAAATAAATGGTATGCAATTTAATGCACTTCCTCTTTGTCCCTTATCTAAATTCTAAAGTTTTATTGATGTAATCTAGTTGATTCAGTGAAATAATGAATTTTTTTCTGCATGAATACAATAAAATAATTTAGACGAGAGTGGTCTGAGGGAACAGAAGCAGGACCTGCAGAAGGTTTTCCTTCGGTGTGGCCAGCAGATTGACGGCCGAGGAGAGCTTGAGAAGGTAAGTGTGAGCCAGATCCGCGAGTCCGGCTCCGTGAGCCCAGTCCATCAGCAGATCCAGATTGGCCCTGACCTGGACTCCACGGGACCAGCAGTAAAATGCTCCTCCGGACCCTTCACACGAGAGCAGCGGTCGCATGAGATGCATGAAACACCTGAAGATCAGCCGCACCTGCTGACTCACTCACTCACTCACTCACTCACTCACCTCTCTCCATCAGCAGGTTGAAGAGCAGAGCGTTGATGAAGAAGAAGAGGTAGGAGAAGAGCTGCGCGCTGATGTCCGGATGCACGTCGAACGCTCGGAGCAGACGCAGACTCTGACTGCAGACGTCCAGCACGCGTCTGACCTGCGACGACACCTGCAGCTGCCCGCTGTCGGAGAACGCATGACTGTCCAGAACGCCGGGGAGAAACGGGTACAGCATCTGACCAAACACACACACACATGAGCCCAGGAGAACACACCGCTCCTGATGCTGATGCTGATGCTGATCGGTCCATTCTGGTGAACAGCATCCATACAGAACAACTGCTGACCTTAACCTTCCTACAGTAACCCTCAGAGTTCATAATAATGCAATTCTATAGCAAACTAGAACTAAAACCACAAAAAAAAAGGGAAAAAAAAGAAAACACAAATAAATAAATAAATCAGCTAGTGGCCAAAGCAACATTTCTCATTCTTAAGGGTTAGTTCATTCAAAAATGTACCAATAAATTAACAGCAATTTTTCATTTTTGGGTGAGCTACATATTTAATTGAGATGTTAATAATTTACAATTATATATTTTTTAAATTTAATAAAATTAATAAAACATTATATATATAATAGATATAATAATATATAGACAAAGGCTACTGAAAATGACAAATGACACAACAAAAACTACTAAATATTTAATTAAAAATGAAAATGGAAAATATAACAATAAAAAACTGATTTAAAATAATAATCAAACCTATAAAAAAATCTCAGTGATACTAAAAGAACAATGAACATTAGCAGCTATGGCATGTCAAGGTGGTCCCAAGGATTTTCATCTAATTTTTATCTAATTTATAAATAATCTCAAATTTTAATAGCATGTAGTTTTTTATTCTTTTATGTTTTTATATTTAATTAAATTTTTTATTTGATTTATTTTCTGTCTAGCTGATTTTGTCCCCTAACTGTCTCCTTTTTGCTGATTTTTATTGTGGAAAAAATATATTCAAACTAATTTGAATCAATATCAAAAATGTTTGTCACCATATTCATATGTCAAATAGTGCTCTAATATTGAGATGAAAGATTCTCTTAGTGAATATTTTCAGATAATATTTTTATAATTTGCAGTCATTTTAAAACTTTTTATACGACGCCAAATAAAGGCCAGATAATGTATTTAATCTCTTCTTTATATATATTTTAAATATTTTATTTATATTTCATTTTAACATTTCATATGCATGAAAATATAAACTCTAGCTGCACTTAATGAACTTAATTTATAAAAATACTATGGACACATGTTTAAAATAAAACCTTATTTTGAAACATTTTTCATTTTAAGATTTTTATTATTTATTGATTTTTATCTTTAATATTTATTTTAATTAATAACTGATTATTAATTGTATAGTTATTTTAGTGCATCAGGTTAACCTGAATGAAAATGACATCTCTTTTAGCAGCGCCTATATTTGAATAATTCACTGTTTAGGTCGTGCCACTTTCAAAGTTCATTCCTGGCCATTTCTAAAACACAAGACAGTCCATATACATCTTATCATCAACAGAACAGGCTGAACTTCCTCAGACAGACCACGACCTCGCTCTCGTCTGCGATAAGATTACGACACTCACTGACCGAATGACCGTTCATCTCGCATCCTTCCTGCAATCCTTCATGCTTTAAGAGCCTAAAACAGACCCAAAACGACTGGAATAAAGCTGCTGGTTGTCTGGAGAGAGATAAAGCATGTGTTTGCCATTCTCTGACATCTCTGTTGCTAACAGCTCTCTATATTTGAGCAGTAAGCGTGTATGTGACTGCATATGCAGGCGGGGAATGACTGAAAGAGAGTCTGTGTTGAAGACGTTCAGCCCACGTGCTCCATCTCAATGTGCCACACATCACAATAACACAAAGCTGGCTTTGTTCTGTGTAATTGTGTGCAGACGGCTGGATGTATGGATTCTCAGGGAGACACCAGTTTGGCAGCCGCCGGCCGCTCCGTCTCCAAACAGCAGAAAATATCCACCCAAAACCATGAAGGAAAAACTGACACACAACCAAACTGCTTCCCACTGAAACAGAGATTAATCTGCAAACGCTTTCAATGGTCACAATGAGATTTCATAACTGTCCAGTTATTAACTTTAGCTGATTCATTTCTATCTAATTGCTTGACATCCCTATTTTTTAGAGCTAAAAAACTGCACAATGTTTAATTTCATTTAAATTAATTTTTTATTTTATTACATTTTCATTTCTGTTTTTTTTTTTGCGTTGCATTGCATTGCATTTTCAATCTTTTTCCTTGTCACTGTCATCTGTAACTTGCCAATATTCCCTGTAAAGCTGATTTGGAACAGTTTTATTAAAACATTATATTCATGCATATATTGAAAACATTTTTGACAAGGTTTGTTTCTAATTGTTTGACAACCCTAATTTAAAAAAACTGCACATGAAAAGTTTTATGAAAATTGTTATATTTTATTTTAAGTATTTGTATTGCATCTTCTATTCAGGGCTATTTTATAGCTTTTATTAATATTTTTACAATTTTATTTTATTTTAGTTTAGTGTTTTTATTTGTAATGTATCTTCCATCCAGAGTCATTTTAGTATTATTCAGATAGTTTTTAATCAATATTTTATTCGTTTTTATTTTAATATTTGATATATTTTATATTTTAGTTCAAGTTTTAGTATTTTTGCAGTGTTTCTGTCATTTTTATTTTTTTTTATAAATACGTCTATATATGTTATTAATGTCTTAATTCATTTTTATTTCAGTTTTAGTTTTAGTTATTTTAGTACATCATCAAAATAAACTAAATGAAAATGAGAAATCTTGCCTTGGAAACTAATTTCTTGGAAACTAAATTATTTTTTTTAAATATATATGTATTTTTTATTTTCATTTCAGTTCATGTTTATTTTATTTCAACTAACGTAAATGGGTTTTTAGTTTCAGTTTTAGTTTTAGTTAACGATAACAACCCTGCTTCCATCTTTTTTCTTTCTTACTGAAATATTATATGCATGAGAATGCTATTCGAATGAATTTGAATTGAATGTAAAATGTTTCTCTGCAGCAAACACAGACTGAATGTAAACGAAACCTGTTGTGTCCAGCGCTGGGAATCACCAACAATGTGTTTTATTAGTTTAAGTCCAGCAGCTGTTTCCTTCTCAGCGAGATCCAATCACACACAAGCGGCTCAAAACCTCCACAGAGAAAACACAGCCTGTTATTGAAGCCATAAAACATCAGTTTGCTTTCCAACCGGCCGTGTTTGTTTTTGATTCAATTTTCCTACTGAAAATATTGAGCTCATAATGGAGCGCTGGCACCGTGTGAGAACAGAACGAGACGTTTGCCAAGCTTTTAAAGTATAAAATGTCATTTACAGAAGAACGGATGGTTTGTACAAACCACACGACTTAATCATTTCCACTCTCAATAAATGCCAATCAATAAAAACGTCAATAAAAATGTTTCTCAGAATCGAAATGTTAGGATGAAAAACATCTTCTCAAGGAAATTTCCCACGACTCCAACTAACTTTTGAATTTACTTTATTGCACGCTTCAAATGATTATCTTTATAATGAATGCAATTAGGCAAGGATAACCGGTTAGTCGAGGTTAACTGACTAAATAAATGTTCGGTTTGGCCTCTCTATATATATTCAAACACAAACTTATTAAACATCAGGGATTGAATTTGTTTGCATGATGACGGATGAAATGCCTCCAGCTTGTTGTTTCATTTACTGTCGGCTGTGAATTCGCTTCACAATCCAACAAACCAATTTAGTTTTTCCACAGAAAAGCCTCATCAAAATGTTGGACGTTGTATTGCACTAAATCAAATCACACCCATATAAACAGCCTCTCTTTCCACGGCAAACAATCTCTTAGAACAAAGATGAATTATAATTTCCCAAAGGGGGCGAGACACTGGAGGATTTTCCCATGCAGAATACAAATCAATCCCAAATCCCGGCTTTGCCAAACGACGATGTCTGAACACTGAATTAAAGTCTGTGAGAAACGAACCTGTTGCTATTCAGCAGAATCTCTGCAGCTTATGAAATATAACCGAGGAAACTTTTAATCACTTCAAGACTTGAAGTCATAGGGTTAGGATGAAAGACGTCTGCTCATGCTGCATTTATTTCATCAAAAATACAGTAAAAATTGTGAAATATTACAATTTAAAATAACTGTTTTCTATATATGTGAATATGTTGTAAAATGTAATTATTATTGTGAATTTTCAGCATCATTACTCCAGTCTTCAGTGTCACATGATCCTTCAGAAATCATTCTAATTTCATAATAACATTTCTGATTATTATTAATATTGAAAACAGTTGTGCTGCTTCATATTTTTGTGGAAACTGTGATACATTTTATTTTAATTTTTTTTTAACTATTAGTAAAATAACATATAATATATAATAAAACCTTAAAGAATAAGGTAAAATAGAAGAATTTAAACTTTAAGTTAAACAAATATTTTAATTTATTTTAATTAAGTAGGCCTAAGTAATTACTAGCTGACCGGGTTACGCATCTCATTTTCATTTAGCTTAAATTGGTATACTAAAATAACTGAAACTGAAAGAAAATGTAATAAAAAAAACTATATAGGCATATTAAAAAAAGAGATCAAATAAACGAATAATAGTAAAAATAACCAAAGAACACTACTAAAAATGTAACTAAAATTCTAAATATGAACAAAAAACATCTGCAAATGTAACAAAGGCACATACAGTAAGAAGCCACTAGTGAAAATGATATGAAGATCACATACACTGTATGATACACTAGATTCATTCATTCATGTCCACGAGCCAAAGAGGTCCATCAAGGTCAGACGCAGCAAAGACATCTGGAAGCACTTGAGATCAGCGCTGCAGTTCACAAAAGCCACAGTTTCTCTGGGCTGCTAACCTGTGCTATTCATCATTCAAACCGGCTCACGAGCTAAAGCTAGAGCTTTTCTTAAGCACAATCTGTGTTTCCATCAAGTTGAGTATACGTAACGTATATGGTTTTGTGGTGTAATGAGAGATTTTGACCCCATTTCACTGCATTGACATTGAATTCACTCAAACATTGTGCCACATTTCAGCACATACATCTATGGATATTGTAGATAAATCTATTTTCTAAATGCATATTATAGATCTTATTGTGAATGGTTTATCCGTGCATATGTTTCTTTTTTATTTTGACCTAGAGCTTCCAGTGAAACCCCAGTCTTCTCTCTGGGGACAAATGCAGGATTTCTCAAGTATACGGTGTTCTTAAGCTCCGCCCCCGCAAGCTCACGCCTCATTTGCATACTTGCTTGAGAGCCACGCCCACATCTCAACATCCAATCAACAATCCGATGCGAATCCGAAGTCCCGCCCTGAATTTTTCTTATTTGATAATAACCATTACACTCGAATGTGTGTCACAATACGGAAGAAAAAATCTGTTCGCTACTTCCTTTTGTTGTGACTTTTGCCTGCACTTGTATATTTAATATACTGCCGAGAATTTCTTCAAAATGTCTTTTGTGCTAAACAGATGTAGTAACTAATAACTAAAACTGAAATGACAATAAATAAAAATTATACAGACTATTTATATTATATTATGTTATATATAAAGTATACATAAAAATCACAAAGTTCAAATGAAAACAGAAAATATAAAAAATAAAATTCAAAATATTAATGAAAAACAAATGATCAAATTATAAAAATCTCAATTATACTAAAATAACACTGGTCTCAAGTTTGTATCTTCCTTTGTGTTCTTTGTGTTAAACTGATGTACCAAAAAAAAATTACATATTTATTATTACATTAAAAAAATACATAAAAAATGCATATAAAAAAATGACAACAAACACAACAAAATTACTAAAACTTTAAAGGGTTAGGGTTTAAAGGCTTTTGGGTGAACGAACCCTTTAACTAAAAGTAAAATAAAAAAAGAAAAACTAAATAAAAATTTTAATAGTATCTCAATCATACTAAAATAAAATTGGTTACAAGTACTACTAATGTATCTACTTTCTGGTTCTTTGTGTTAAATTGATGTACTAAAATAACTAAAATAACTAAAACTAACTAAACATTTTTTTTTAAATTCTATAGACATTTAAAAAAAATCCAAAAATACATACAACAAAAACACTACAAGTTTCACTAAAGTTAAGAAGAAGAAAAAAGTATCACAATAATACTAAAATACTACTGGTCACAAGTACTGCTTATGTATAAATTGATGTTTAAATATATCAGTTGTTAAATTGATGTATTAAAATAACCGAAACTGAAAAAAAAAAACTAGTAAAAATGTCAAAAACACACAAAAAAATTCCAAAACTTTAACTAAAATGAAATACAATTTTTAAAAGTAATGTACTAAAATAGCTAAAATTGAAAAAAAGATTTTTTCCACAGAAGAAATAAAGTCGAACAGCTTTTGAATAACTGATGACAGAATGATCATTTTTGGATGAAGCATGCAGAAGGCCTGACCTTGGTGAGATAGTAGACACATTGCTGGAAGGTGAACATCAGGACCTCCTCCAGGACCGTCATGGCCTCCTCACTGGCCGAGCGCACGGAGGAGAGCCGCAGCTCCAGCACCGCTGGAATATAACCACAGACACGCAAAGATACTGAATCTGAACACATACATCACATTATTCACATCAGCACTGACTGATTTACCAATGCAGTCTTCCTCCTCCTCCTCCTCCTCCTGAGAGACTCCGTGCAGCAGACGAGGAACCTCCTGGTGGATGAAGTGAAGGATCTGGACGGAGTTGGACATCCAGAGGACCAGCGGCTCCAGACCCTGGATCAGTCTGTCAGCACCAGAAGGCCAGTCTGCCGCGTCTGACTCACTTCTGCTTGCGTCAGGAGAGCGAGGAAAATCTGGTTTTAATGTACGCCGTGTCTAAGATATTGAATTTTAATTCCTCTGGTTACGAAATGATGAGAAATGAGTTCCTGATCTTACATTTCAGGCTGCAAAGCTGCGAGTTCCTTTGCCTTTTCCTGCATTAAAGTATTAAAAAAGATGCAGTACAGTTACAATGCAAAACACGGAGGATTAAAAATGTCTAATGAAATGTCTATTCAAATGCTGTCATTCACTGACACTCATGTTGCTCAAATCCATACTTTCTATATTACACAGAACATCTGAACTCTGTTTTCCATGCAGTTACAAGCATTTAAGTTTCTAAAAGGATGTAAAAGCACCATAAAAAGTCATTTCGCTTGACTCATACACTATATAACAAGTTACACTATTTGTTACAGTGCTTGAATTCAGAGTGATAGTTCATCTGTGATCATTTGCTCACCCTCATGTCATTCAAAGCCCATTTGACTTTATTTCTTTTGCAGAACCCAAAAGAGTATATTTAGTATAATGTTGGTACTGTAAGAAAACTGTTTCGGTTCCCATTGGCTTCCATTGTATTTTATGTCAATACTATGGAAGTCAATGGGAAATGAAACACTCTTCAATTAATTTCACAGAAGAAAAATCTCAGGTTTGTAATAACAAGAGGGAAAGTCATTTTCAGAATTTTCATTTTTGGCTGGACTATCACTTTAATATGCTGGACTCCTTCTGCATGTTATATCATTACACCAGTAGGTGGCGGCGAGCGAGTCTTTACGAGTGAATAAGTCAGTCACTCAACTGATTCTTTCAAAGCGTTGATTCAGTCAGGAATGAAACAAGTGGCTGTCTTTATGAGTGAGTCATTGAATTATTCACTGAACTGATTCGTTTAACACACTGATTGATTTAGGAAGTAATCACAACTATAGTCGGAAAATAATCCATAATAAAACGTGCCTCACACAGCTCCGGGGGGTGAATAAAGGCCTCCTGTAGCTAATCAATGCATTTTTGTAAGAAAAATATCCATGTTTAAAATATTATAAACACTTTTCTCTCACTTACGCTAACTGTCGTATGCGGAAGCCGTTCTGGCGGATGAGCGTAAGTGCCGATGTTTCGTGACGAACGCAGAGGAGAGCAAAACAATGCCAGTCACGAATTAGAAGCACAAAACAAGGATTTGTAAAGAAAAATGTCAAAGGAGTTCGATATAAGCCAAGAGGAGACTGGTTTTCCTTTGCTAAAGTAAGGAAACTTTACTTTTGCTTCCTTTGCTCCTGTAAACAAACTCGTGAAACTAGCATATCTAGCATATCATCCGCCTGGAGCGGCTTGCACGTATGACAGTCAGCAGAAGTGAGAAAAAAGTGTTTATAACGTTTTAAGTATGGATATTTTTCTTACAAAAATGCATCGATTCGCTACAGGAGGCCTTTATTAACCGTGTGAGGCACATTTTATTATGGATGCATGCGCTTTATTGCACTTCTTTTGGACTGCTGAACAAAAACACCCGCCCAGTGCCATTATAAAGCTTGGAAGAGCCAGGACCATTTTTAATATAACTCCGATTGGATTCATCTGAAAGAAGAAAGTCATATACACCTAGGATGCCTTGAGGGTGAGTTATTTATGGGCTAATTTTCATGCTTTTACATATTCTTCAGTTATTGAAAAACTATTGAATCAATTACCTTGAACAAAACTGAAAATCATTAACAAGAGCTTTGTCTAAAAATATATTCAGTAGATATTCATTTATTCAGTTGAACACAGAAGAAGATTTTTTGAAGAACCAACCAGTTGCTGGTAGCCATTGACTTCCATTGTATTTTTTTCCATATTATGGAAGTCAATGGCTACCGTCAGCTGTGTGGTTACCAACATTCTTCAGAATATCTTTTTTGTGTTCAACAGAAGAAAGAAATGTATACAATTTTGGAACAACACGAGGGTGAGTAAATCATAACAGAATGTTCATTTTTGGGTGAACTGTCCCTTTAATCATATTCTGGTTATACTGTGGTTGCATTTCCTCTCAACATCATGGTACATCCAAACACTGGCCGAAAGACAAACAATCGTTTGAAATGTAATGACTCAGTAAACTCACCCATACGATGGTCTGCAGCTCACTGGCCATCTGTAGCAGCAGCCGCCGGAGAGCCGGCATTGAGAAGTGAGCGGCGGACTGCTGGAGACACAAACACAGCAGGAAGGCCGCGGTCAGTTTGTGTGCGGCCGGATCCCGCTCCACCAAGCTGAAGATCTCCTTCAGGACCATGGACTCATGCTCCACGTCATACGGCAGAAGCAGCTCTGCTCCATCCACGTCTCTGAAGCAGGCTCTCGCTCTCACGCACGATTTACAGAGAGGAGGCCGTCTGCTCATCTGAGCCACTTCTGCAGGGGTCGCGACCTTCGGACAGGTGGGGTCTTTATACATGAAGAGGTAATGATCGCCCAGTGCGATGATGTCTCCTGACTGCAGCTCCACCTCGTGCTTGATGACGGCTCCGTTCCTCTTGACCTTAGCTCTGTTGAGGGGTTTCAGTCGGGTCTCGGTCCCGGACCGTCCGGCCGCGGAGGCCCGAGTGACGCTGCAGTGATCGGGCAGAAGATCAGGAGCCCAGAGATTCATGCGATCGCCATCACTCTCAGTCTCATTGTGAGGTTGTTCAACGTGGCGTCCGAATACTGTGCAGCTATTGATCAGGGCATTTATGACAAAATCCTGAGGAGGGAATGAAACATATTCACTGCATGAGTTATAAAGTTCTAGATGTTTTGGGAAGATCTTAATATTCTTAGTATGTCAACATGACAAGAAACTATAATCATTTGGACTCTGATCCACTTGTCTAACTGTAATATATGTGACCCTGGAGCACAAAACCAGTCTTAAAGGGTTAGTTCACCGCAAAATGAAAATTATGCTGTGTTTTACTCACCCTCGAAGCATCCTAGGTGTATATGACTTTCTTCTTTCAGACGAATCCAGTCGGAGTTATATTAAAAATTGTCTTTGATCTTTCAAGC